AGTTGGAGGTTGCTGTGAGCTGTGATGCCATGGAACTCTACCCAGGGGGATAGCTTGAGGCTCTGTCTCAAAAAAAAAAAAAAAAAAATCATCTTGCAAAAGTTGTATAAGACCCATGTGCTGTATAGAAACAGCACTCTGTACCCCATGATAGTATTAATGTACACAGCTATGATTTAATAAAATTTTAAAAAAGGGAAATTAGAGAGATAAATATGATTCAAATATAATAAACTAATGGAAATTTACCCTGGAAGTGAAAACAATGTAACCTAAAAATGTGTACCCTCATATTAATTTGAAATTAAAAAAATAAATAAACAAATATTAAAAAAAAAAAAAAAAAGACCCATGCACTGAAAACTACAAAACACAGCTGAGCACCTGTAGCTCCAGCCACATGCTCCAGGACTGGTGGGTTCGAACTCAGACCAGGCCAGGGCCTGCTAAAACAAATAATAATAATAATGATAGTAAGAGTAATAATAGCCAGGTGTTGTGGTGGGTGCCTGTAGTCCCAACTACTAGGAGGCTGGGGCAAGAGAATTGCTTGACCCCAAGAATTTGAGGTTGCTGTGAGCTCTGACACCACAGCCCTTTACCAAGGGTGACGAAGTGAGACTCTGTCTCAAAAAAGAAAGAAAAAGAAAAGAAAGAAAACTACAAAACACTACTAGGAGAAAGTTGGAAAGACCTAAACAAATAAGGAGACCAGAGAACTCAATATTAAGATGTTCAATCTGTAGATTGAAAGCCGCTTCTTGAGGTTTAGTGTCATCTCTTCTGCCCCCTGGTGGTAGCGCTGTAATTTGTCCACTAAGTCAAGATGAACTACATTTCCCAGAACTCCCTTCCCAGCAGTTTCATTTCAAGGTGGGCCACAAGGGGGATTATCCTGGCGGGTCTGAAGGGAGGAAGTGAAGTAACAGCCATTTTCTAGCGTGCGCACCAGTTGTTGGTCCGCCAATTTATCTACTTGGTGTGAAGTAGTGTTGCCGCTCACCCAGGTTCATCTAGGCTGCCCAAGAGAAAGCCAGTGTCCAGAGACAGCAGAGTTCACAGCAGAGAAAGAGTTTATTCTGCACAGGGCTAAGGCAGGGGGAATTTCTCAAACTCGCCTCCCTGAGAATTGGGAAGACAGGGTTTTTAAAGACAGTTTTCTGGGCAGAGGGTTCTGCCATCAGGGTCTGCTAATTGGCTCATTTCTGTGCAGAACCATCAGACCTTTGGTAGGGGTCAGTTACTGCAATGCAGTTCCTTGAGGTAGGGGATCTAAGACAGTTGAGTCAGTTTTTGGTCTGGGTGGGTCAGTCAATCCACTGGAATACAGAACCTGGAGGATATCTCAAAAATCATCCCTAGGTTTCTGAACAGGAGACATTATCTATGGAGAATTACAGATAAGCAAACGTGGGGACAGAGAGTATTATCAAGCAAATGAGGGGACGATGGCTGATTATTATCATTATTTTAGCTGAGCCTGCTTCATCAAAGAGTTTGGGGGCCCTTACCCTAGTTCTTGCCTTACACCCCTTCATCAGTGTGTAAGGGCAGTTTCTGTAGCAACCTGGCCTGCAACCATTAGAATATCCCTAGGTGGTCCTTGAGCTATGATGATCCTGGGCCAGATGGATGCCTTTAGCTCCTTAAGGAAGGGCTCCAGCAGGACACCACTAAAAGTCAGAGGCAAGAACAACGACATGGGTCTCCACGTGTGCCACAGTTCAGACACGTGGGTCCCAGCTAGTTCTTGGCTCTCCTACATTCAAGGTCCCTCATCTCTTCCCAACAGCCCCTCACCCTACTAAAGACTTCACACTCCAGCATCACACTTGAAGACAACACCTTATAGGCATCCTCAAACTATGGCCCATGGGCCACATACGGCCCACCCAGGACATTTATCTGGCCCACTGGGTGTTTTTGCCACTGCTGCCTGTCCTGCTTAGCTGCTGCCTGTCCTTTTGAACTATAGTCTGGCCCTCCAATGGTCTGAGGGACAGTGAACTGGCCCCCTGTTTAAAAAGTTTGAGGACCCCTGCCTTATAGGGATTGTTTAACCAGCCTCTACAATTGCATAGGAAATATCACTAATACACTTCTTTTTCCTATTAGGTGGATAGTTGGAAATTCACCTCCCCTAGGGGAAAAAAAGACAAAGGTGGGACCCTGGTCTCACCTTAATCCTTGATTAGTCTCAAGAGATTGCTCGTACCTGGCAGGGGGGACTACCCTACCTATCTACCAATCAGAAAAGGATGCAGAGAACTCTTTAGCTCTCCAGCCTAACAACAGGTGACCTACAACAGCCTTAACGCTAATTATCATGACATCTACATTGCGGTCCACACCCCTCAATGGGCTTTCAGAGAGACTCCTGGGGAGGACTATGTGTGCAGGAAGACTCTGTTCCCAGATGACCTCTGAACCCCAAGGAAAGCCCAACCCAGGTAGTATAAAACAGAACCCCCAGCCATAACCAGAGAGCTTTTGTCATGACAATGGAGGCCTGTTTGCTGTCTTTGGCAAAGGTATGTTGCTCTGAAACTTTCTTACTCTGCTCTTTCTATTCCTCGATAAACTTTCTTTTCTTTTCTTTTTTTTTTTTTTTTTTTGCAGTTTTTGGCCAGG